AGGACTCCCGGAACCAGCCTGACGCAGCAGTTTCTGAGCAGCCCTCCGGGGCGCGGGGTGGAGGAAGGTCGGCGGCCCTGGGCGGGCCTGGGGGCGGGAACTTCTTGGAGCTGGGGGTGCCAGGCTGTGATGCGCCCGGCGGCGCCAGGATGCGGGCCAGACCGCGGTCTGTCTAGGTACCTGGACCGCGTCTTCTGGAGAACCCCCGGCTGTGGGTGGGGGTGGGAGCCTGTGCAAGAGCAGAGATCTGTGCAAAAGTGGGAGCACCGCAGGCTGGTGGAGGCATTGCATCTGTCACTGGTTTCAGTTTTGCAAATTGAAGCCCCACTGATTACGCACGAGGGAAATTATTTACTTGTGATACAATATATTGGGACTTCCCCTCCAAGGTGTAAAGTAAAAGAGATGATTTTCTAGCCGCTAGAATCTAGCACGAATGGATTCTGCGTGGTGCAGGAAAGTGGAGGAAATTAGTGTAGTCGGGCTGAAGGATGGGTTTTTTAATTTATAGATTTTTTAAAAATTTACAAACCACTTTTCTTAGGAAAAATGACCAAGTCTTACAGTAACTTTTTGAAGTGACCATGTTTTGTGATTTTGTAAGACTTTCCGGAAACGTGCATGTTTATTAACCATGTAAAATGAATAGATGGGATTTGGAGTTCATGGTGCCCTTTAGTTATCCCCAACCCTGTTACAAAAGTAGAGAGGCACCACCGCCTGCGAATAGGGTTTTGGTCATGTGATGGAAAGCGATCTCGGCGTTGCCAGTAATACTTAGACAGGTCAGGTGCCAGTATTTGCTAAGACAGAGTGGTTGTAAACTCTCCAGTCTAAAGGGCACAGTGAATGCCGCCCTGGAGACAGACTGCTATAAGCTGAGAGACATTCACAAAACACAAGACAAATTCATTGCATTTTGTTCGCCTTTTAATGATATGTATGCATACTGCCCTATGATTGAATTTGTATACTTCTCCCATACCCCCCTCTCCGGCCCCACATGTGAGGCTGTTTGCAAGCGACAGCTTAGTTATTAATAATACCCTGAAAGTGTAAAAAGCAAAGACAGACTTCAAACATTCTCCAACAAATAGATATTGCTCTCTCCCTAGGTGCCAGGCATCGGCGATACAGCGGTGACCCATACAAACAAATGCATCACTCATCATGGTGCTTACAACTCCTCTTCATCAAGCCTCACAAGCTCCCAGGCATTTGCCAAGCAGTTGTTATTTATGTCAACTAGTGATCACATCCCTCTGCACTGATTTTTTCCCCCCAACTGGTGCATTTGAAGAATGCCAGGTGAAAGGACTGAATCTCCAGTCCTATCAGTTGCCCCGCCCTTTCTCTTTCCCCCTCTCTCCCCTCACCGCCTTCCTGTTGGCCTTCTAACAGGAGAGGCTTCATCCTTTCCCAGAATAGTTGTACTTGCGCCTCCATCTGTCTACAACACTCAACCCCCAGATGTCTGGATGGCTGATTCCAAACCCCCACCCCCACCCTTTTATAGGTCTCTGCTCAAATGCCACTTCTTCAAAGAGCAGCCCATAGGCAAAATATAAAATACCACCCCACGACATCATTCTTATTTTTACTTTCTTATTTCTTCATAGCAGGTATCACTGCGGACATGGTGTGTGCATATGGATGCGTATGTGAACACACACACATAAATAATTGTTGATTGCTCGTCTCACTCACTAGGATGAATAGGGACTTTGTTTTGTTTATCGCTGCTTTGTCCACTGCTACGAGTGGTGCCTGGCAATAAACAAGTATGTATTTATTTGCCTTTTATAAATAACCATGTATCGATTCTCAATAAATATTTGCTGGATGAATACATGAATCTCTCTGACAGCACTTTGGCTCGATGACTTCACCAAAGGCAACAGCACAACGCAGAGCATCCCCCTCCAACTTACGCATCTGTTTCCTCAACACACACCTGCTATGTTTCAGGCGCTATGTGACCTAGATGTCACCCGTGGCAAGGAGTCAAAGGCAGATAGCGTCCCATACCTGCACATGGGAAAAGACTTAGCGCGATCTGGAAACTGAATGAATTTTATTGTCGCAATAAAATCATGGTCATGTTATTTAAGCATTAATAGAATTCTGCTAACAGTCCAAATGATTACAACTTCAATTGTCCATGTAACTGAAGTACCTTCTTAGAAATTTAAATGACAGATTCTGATCATTCCCCATCCTCTGAGTCAGGGAGAACAAGCTGCAGTAGCCTTGGGGAAGTGAGTTTCAAAGCAGGTTGAAAGTCAGCTCCCAGAGGGCCCCGGGCCTGTGTAGAACTGAGTGGGACCCCCTGAATGTGACCCATAAGGGAATACACAGCACATGTAACTAAGGCTTGACAATCCCAGATGCTTCAGCTCTTTGCTGCCTCTGCCGGTGTGGTAAACTTTGTCCCTTAGTCAATGATTTTCTTCAAGGGAAGAACCAGTATCTATCAGTGTATCCACAATGCCTGGTACACAGTAAGCACAAACCCCTGGGTGTTGAAATCCAAGCCTCCTCTCCATTCCCACAAACATTGTCCTAGTTCCAAGCTGTATCATCTCTCACCTGAATTATTGTAAGAGCCTTCTCAGTGGCCTTGGTCCAGTCTTTGTCTCCCCAAGTATTGGCCACTGGCACAATTAACTTCCTAAACGCAATGGTATGCAGACTCCCCATTGCATGAAGAAGGCATGAAGGCTAAATCTTTCCTTCCAGTTTCACCCTCTTTCTACTCTCCTTTCTCCTGTATCCGCCAGACAGAACATGGGCATCTCATGCCCTCCTTGCACTGAACTACCAAAAGTTCCTGAACATGCTTTGCATTCTCAAGTGTTTGTCTTCGGGTGGAAAAACCTCTGCTTGGAGGCCTCCTACTCATGCTACAAAGCTCAGCTCAAATTACATCTCCTCTGTGAAGTTCCAAAAACCTGTCTGAGTCAAAACTTTACCTCACCCACTTCTTTACTTTGTGTTCTGTTAGCACTTTCTGTAAATCTCCACTTGAGGGTTTAAAATCTTATTCCACAAATGTTCATGCGCAAGAAATGATAGGTGTCCTTATTCTCCCTCCTTTAGTCTAATTTCAAGTTGCCTCCCCAAGGGCTGGTAGAAAATAATCTTAGTCACTGTAGCTTCTCCCACGCCCACCCCCTTTAGGATTTCACATGCCAGCGTAGCCGGGGAAGGGCCCCTCCATTCTTAGGCTGTTCCAGATAATTGTCAGTGTCCAAGCCTGCTGTTTGGTAGCCTGTCTCATCTTCTGTTTTCTAGGTAGGAGTCTTGGTTGAGGCTGGAAAATCTAGGCCTCAGGGGTATCGGGTCCCCATTCCCCTCTGGGCCTTTGCCACACCCAAGGAACTGCAGACCTGTGACCCACTACCTATTGCTTCTCTCTGTTCTTTCCTCCTAACATAATTCCCAACTTTAGAGACGGTTACAGGGATCAGGCAGTTAACCCAAATGAGTGATTTTGGCTCAGTGTAAGACCAGAGAGAATGCTAAGGACCACAGTGAACTGGAGGCTGTGCCCCCCTTACCAGGGGCAGATATTACTCAGCTCCAAGTAATGGTAGCCAGGTGAATGCCAGGTCATCTGATTTTCCCAGGAGAGGCTGAAGTCTAGATTCTAATGCGAAATCTACTTTCCAAATGTTGGCAACTATTTTTTAAAGCTTCAATATTCCATTCATTACAAATGAAGCCTGTCTGTCGAAGTGCTAGCCTGGAGAAGGCCACTTCGGGACCGCTGCTTGAAAAGAAAATGCCAGGCCAACGGCTTCCTTCAAGCATTTAACCCAAAACTTCCCTGAAATCCATCTTGAAAGTGGGTGGAGGGAGAAATGCAATGTGAATGGACACAAATTCATGTCTCAGTAAATTACCCTGTCACACGAGGACTCCTCACTTGTGTTGTAATTAATTGTCTCTCTCACCTGGTCACCCACAGCCTGTTGCCACTCAGCTGGCACCACCTCCAGCCTTTGCTTGGCCCTCTCTGCTGTGTGTCTGGCTGTTTACTTGTCTTAGCTCCTTCTCGAGTTTCCTTAATGACTCTTCCAGACCTCTCTCTCCCACTTACCTCAAAGACCTCTGCTTATCTCCAGACTCCTCACTCTCCGGAAAACCCCTACTTTAAGAGAATTCAGCCCACTCAAGCTCCCTGACTCTCAACCCTTCCTACCTACCTCCTCCCACACCCTCTGTTCCTTCCTACAGCTGCCCAGAGAAAGGTCACCCTCCAGTTCAGAGCCAACTCTTCTATCTGTGCCATTGATAATGTATTAAAACTATCTATTAGCCCTAACCGGTTTGGCTCAGTGGATAGTGCGCCAGCCTGCGGACTAAAAGGTCCCAGGTTCAATTCCGGTCTAGGGCATGTACCTTGGTTGCGGGCACATCCTCAGTAGGAGGTGTGCAGCTGATCGATGTTTCTCTCTCATCGATGTTTCTAACTCTCTATCCCTCTCCCTTCCTCTCTGTAAAAAATCAATAAAATATATTTTAAAAACAAACAAACAAAAAAACCTATCTATTAAAACTCCACTCTCCTCTCCATGCAGTGAGACTAAATCTTGGTTAAGGAAGTTTTGTTAGTCATTCATCATTGTATTCCTGGGGTACAGTACATTGTTCATTGAATAAAGGCTTTTCTTTTTATAAATCTGGGGCTGTACCACACTTCCTAACAGTTTTTCTTGAGACATAAAACAAGAGTTGACACCTGGTGCTTTGTAGGTTATTGATCTACAGAGAGTAGTTTCCCTTGATTCCAAGCAGGGGCTAAATTTGGAGGAGATAATCCAGGAGGGACTGTAGCTGGCAGGCGAGGGAGTTCTCCTGGGCCAGGTGGGTGCCATCCAGCTGTGAGTTTGCTGTATTAATACCTCCTATCTGTGGTCTCTGGTTACTGCTGGTGAGGCTGGCCTTTGGCATTGCTGAGGGAGCAAGAGGGAAGCCTCTGTGACCAAGGTGTCACATTGCTCTGTCCCCTTAGGTTCTACCCGAAGACACCACTGCTTCTTCAGCAGATAGTCTCTTGGGAAAGACTGGTAATTGCTCTTTGTATGTTTCAAGAAGTGTTTCTCTTTTCTTTTTTCTAACTCAAAATTTTTTTTATTGATTTCAGAGATGAAGGGAGAGAGAAAAAGAGATAGAAACATCAATGATGAGAGAGAATCATTGACCAGCTGCCTCCTGCACGCTCCCTACTGGGGATCGAGCCCACAACACAGGCATGTGCCCTGACCATGACCTTCTGGTTCATAAATCAACGCTCAACCACTGAGCCATGCTGGCCGGGCCCTATCCTCACTTTATACATGAGAACTCTGAGGTCTGCAAAGGTTTAATACTTGCCTTTCACGGCCAAACAAATAACACCAAAGTTTAACCTTGTGCTGAGGGTGTCAGATATTCCTAACTTTTAAACTTTTAATATGTTTATATTTTGATGTTATTTTTAATCTATATAAATTATCTAAATATATTTATCTGTAATCCATTCTCATGTTTTAAATAAGTATCTCATATTCTATTTTATATTTTCCTTATTGTTGGCTTTCGTTACTTAATTTGAATTTCATCTATTTAAAATAATTTCATAACTGACTTTATTTTGATTTTAACAAGCTATCTCAACCTTCTGATTCTCTTTTAACTTTTATTTTCTTGCTCTAATTTTTATTCAGCATATTTTATAGCCCATGTTGTACTTCTGTTTTATGAGTTTTTACAATTCTCCTGGTTTAAACTTTTGCCTATTACTTTAAGATTTTTTTATTTCTCAATTGTCAGCTTTTAATTGGTTTCAAGTCTTCCAGAATTCTTTGGCATCACATTTTAATCTCTATTCTCTCTTCCCTTCTTTGTGGCACTGTGACTTTTCCACCTTTTTTTTTTTCTTTTTCTTGTTATCTGTCAATCAATCTAGTTCAAATAATGACTTGTAAGAAGCACATTGAAATTAGGAAGACTTCTCTGCTCCTGCCCTCCTTTCTGCCAACCATCACTGTAAGGACATTTTTTTTTGCATTAATATTGATTTTGACACATCACTCTATGCAATCATTATTGTCACACTGCCTATTTTTAAATCTATACTTTCTAATTGTTTTAATTAATTTCTTTTGGTTACAAGGAGCAGACTCATTCCAATTAGCTAAAGTGATGGGCATTTTATTGTAAGAATGAATGTGCAAAAGAGGAAACAAGTTCCAGCCTCTATGT